AGAGCTGCATGTTTTAATTAAAAATAATTAATAAAATCTAAATAACACTGTTAGTTTTTCTTTTATTATAATAACTCAATTTCAGATATCTGCAGCACAAACAGAAAATGTTTTAATCAAAATGTAATTTAATAACAATTAGTCCACATGCATTATAAAAGGAATTCATATATTTACTTTATAATCGTAAGCAAATATTTTAAGTAGAAGATGACAGTGGAGTCGGCTAAGCAAGAGATCAGTCTGCAGTGTGCCTATATCCAGTGGTATGCTGAGTCTCCTCATATCCTATAACTAATCAAGGTGTGGCCATGGCTAAATACCAGGTCTGATTACAGTCCAGCTCTACTTTGTGTTGTTGCTCCACATATATCCATAAGTACATCTATTTTTGTGGTTTATAATGCACACAAAAAAGTAAAGGTTCAAGTGAAGGTAATACTTTAGCAATATATATTAATAACTAATAAACATTTGTATAGATTGTAAATGAAAAAAAAAGCTTGACTCTCCTTTCTCTGCAGACTGTGACGAGAGGAAGCTAAAAGGAGTCATGTACTTTCAGGCGATTGAGGAAGTTTACTACGACCATCTACGAACAGCTGCCTCTGTGAGTTTTTGTGTGATTTCTCATTTGGCTGCACAAAGTCAGTAGAATTAAGTTTAAAGTCTGGAAATGTAGTTTAAACCAGGCCAATGGCTACAAACCCTCTTATATTCAAAACATATTTTCTTGTTCTAATCCCGGAATGACCTCAAAAATACTTGCATAATCTTTGAGAAAATATGTTCTCAGAACAACAGCAATGGGTTTAGAAAAATTTTAATAGAATTATGCGTTGAGATCTTTATTAGTTTAGCTTTTATAGAATGTGTTGTACTTGCTAAACGGATGCATTTTAGTAGAATAAACAAAAACAATCTATACAATAAGATATCCTGCATTAGTGTATGTAGTTTTGTTTGTACAATGGTGCTATATCATATAAAAATACACAATATAATGCAGCAAGGTGGTTTAATTTAGATTTGAAGTCAAATTCCTACCATCAGCTTTAAGATTTAATCTAGCAGTTTTTTCCTAGTATACATCAATGCAGCCAGATGTTTTTTTTAAATGACACACTTTACTGTCATGTTTTCTGAGTTTGGATGTTTTTCATTCTTTAGGGAAGCAGACATTCAGGATTTTCTCTCTCCGGTTTTGATTCTGGATGCTTGTGTGCACTCAGTTGTGAAATTTGGTTTAGAAAATATTTTTGTGTGTTTTTAAAGCCTTTGTATTGTGGTAAATGAATAAGAAACGCCACCAAAGACTCTGTTTCTTCTTCTTTCCAGTCTCCTCGACCTAGCCTTACATTCTGCGTGAAGACATACGATCGCCTGTTCTTCCTGGTGGCCTCCAACGCCGTGTCCATGCGGATCTGGATGGACGTCATTGTCACTGCCACAGACGAGCACAGCCGCTATTGACCTTTATATGTGAAGCTACTGAAAAGACTAATGTGGGTTCTGTTCCCCTTTTCTGTCTGCGCAGCATACTTGCTGGAAATTTGCCTTAAGTGATTGAGAAGACTGTGAATAATCACTCAGATGTGCAGCAGTTGAGATGAGGAGGACTATGTTACTGACAGAGGTTCATGAGCTGCAGTGCAGAACATGGATCTTCCACAGACTTACTCATGGTGACTCAGCGGTCTGTTACAGAGGGTTTACACATGGACCTCGTTCTCCCCCTGCTGGTCAGATTGCAGCATTACAGGAGTAAAGTTAACTACAATGAAACCACCAGCACCTAAAAGTCATCCACTCTAATAATCCACTACTCTTAATGTTTTCTTTGATATATCCACCCTGTTTTACATTTGTTTTTAGATAAAGGAATGTATATGAAATTTTAAAGATTATTTATTTTGTTGAGGTTTATATGGCTTTGGTTTGCTTATAAATAAAACTGTACCCTGGTGTTATGTCAACACTAAATGTTCTTAAAAATCCTCCTGTTCGTCTGTTATTGAAGTTTCTTTGGTGATGATGAAACCAATTCCAAGCTGGGGAGTAAAAGTACTTTAACAAAATGTTAATTTAAAGAAATATTTTTACATAGATATTGCAGATAACCTGCTACCAGATTATATTAGATGCTATAAATAATATGCAATTGCTTTAGCTTCATGTAACTCTTTACAGGTCATATAATTAGAATATCATAAAAAAGTATTTTTTTCAGTAATACCAGTCAAAAAGTATAACTTGTATATTGCATTCATTACCTATGTGCAGACTTATGTATTATAAAGTGCTCAGTTTCTTTTTTTTTTTTTTTTAAATCTAATGAGTAAAACTGACAACTAATACCTCTAAACATAGTTTTTCTGACAAATTAGAATATTGTAAAAAAAATATTAAAAACACTTCGTACCGCTCTCTAATCAGCTAACTGACTTAGAACGCCTAGAAATGCTTTTAAATGGTCTACCAGTCTACATGTACTTCTGTAGTCTACACAATGGAAAGCCTGTTGACTTTAGATGATCATGGACACCTCGCACAAGGAAGGCAAGACACAAAAGGGTGTTGGTAAATAGGTTGGTTGTTCACAGAGCTCTGTGCCCAGACATAATAAATAGATGAAGGGAAGGAAAAGATGTGGTCTGGCAAAGAACGCCATGTTGAGCCTGGTTTGGCCATAGATTTCTTCCCAAAGGGGGGATTTTTCTCTCCAATGTCGCTTTATTCTTGTTTATCATGGGGGTTCATACGAACCTGCTCTATATACCTATACTTTTTTGTGTGAGTTTTTCATGCTTTTGAAATCTAAAGTGATGGCAGGGCATCACACAGGAAAACTCTATACAGGTTTCTTTGCTGTAGACCCCAAACTCATGCAATCAATCATTTTCCCTGGACCAAAGCATTTAGTGGACATGCTGGAAATCAAGAAATTATAAAAACTGATAGGTTTGTACAGTTCTTACCACAATTAGGTCCCGACACAGTTTGTCTAGATACAGTTCTCTCTTGTTTAAATGTGAGTTTTAGTTTGAAAGTTTCCTGAATCTCTTAAGTAATTTCCTACAATTTTAGTATTGCTTCTGTGAATTAAAAACATTTTCTACCTCATACATGCAAGCTTTTGAATTTTTTTGTTCAGATCTTTCAGTTTATTAAACCTTTCATGTTTCCCTTTAACTGTGTAACATGTCGTTGTCAGACAGCTGCCGTTTACACTGACATGCCTTTTTAAATACTCATCCTGCCTTTATATATGTCAGTATGACAATATGCAGTATTAAACAGTCAGATTCAACATAGAATAAAATGAACTATTCATTTAAGACTACAACTAACGATAATTTTGCAAATTGATTAATCTATCAATTATTTTCCCCAATTAATCCATTAATAATCAGATTGCCAAAGGTTCCACAAAGAAAAATTTTACATTAAATTATCCAGGTGAAACTAAAATGTTTCCACTTGAGGAGTTCTGGATAGAGCATATTGACAGATGAAAATGTTTTTTTTTTTTTAATCTTAAATGCTAAATGTTTATACATTTTCTTTACTATGTTGGTATAATTACTGCTCTAAGTGGGTTGTTCTGTCAGTTAAAGGCATGATTTAGAGTCTCTATACTCCAGTTAACAAATAATCGTTTAATAAATTAACTGATGATTATTTCAATAATCATTTTAATCACAATCTGAATAATTGTTACAGTCCTAATTAATTTATTTCAGTAACTAGTTTCTCAAAGGAAAAAAAACCCATTGTGAATATAAAATATTGAGAAGTACAAGCTCCAGAGAACATATTCTAATACACTGAATATTGGTTTGTACGTCAACATCCAACAGAAATATGACCTTTTGAAATGCATTTTTGCAATATTTAAAACTGTGTGTTTCTTTGTTGAATTAAGTTTAAACAGCTTCTAAGGCATGTTTCCATTTATATTACCAAATACGACCATGACTACCAGTATTTGAATTTGCTTTTATGTTGGTATTTATCTTTCCTCCACTCTCTCTTTATTTTTTCTTCTCTTTTCCTAATTAGAATAAATTTAAGGATGAAATGACAATGTTTGATGAATTCCCCATACATTCATAAAAAAAAAAAAAAAATGGCTTTGAATAAAGTGTGGCAGCCAGTGGAGACAGCATGAAAACCCTGTTGTTTTCTAATTGCCTGTCTCCATTGGCACGTCTTGCAACAGCTGCATGTCTCATCCAGACACACCACCAGTCTGGCAGGACTTCTCAGTGGATTTGGAACCACTGAACCCTTTAGGCTGGTAAATCTCTGAATTTGTTATGATTTTAACTTCTAATTAATACTAATAATCTATTCTGACTTTGATTTAGGTATATCTGAGTACTAAAGAGGACTTTCAGCACCAAAATTAAGGTAGGATTTATTATGATGCTTAAATAATGTCTGTGTTATGTTCACATTAAGTTAAAATTTTTCATGTAAATAGAAAAAATGCAACTGTATTTCTGTCACATATCTGCCAATTTAAGTGCTCTAAGAAGGAGTTTAACTTGTGAACAAACTCCAGTTAAATATGGATAGCTTTGCTGAATTGAAAACTTTTGTGCAGACTCCTGTTGCTGATTATTTTGTAGCTGCAAAAGAATGAGATTGTGCCAATTAATCATGCAAGACAATTTTTTTTTTTTTTTACCTAAAATAATTAGTAATGTAACTTTGGGCCTAATGTGTCTTATTTCACTGCAGTTTTATTGTCTGTGGTTTTAATTCAATGATAGTTCATGAATATCATAAAATATTTTCTCTCATAAAACATTCTCCAAATGTTCATATTAGTTGAATGCAATATGGCATTATCTATGTTAAAAAATATTTTAGATGTATTTAACTGATCCGTGTTTTTTTTCAGTTCGAAATGAAAAATATACAAAAAAAAATATATATATATATTTTGATTTTCTTTCTACTACCTCATTCAAGGATTGCTAACTTGAAAAACAGCCACGATGTCCATTGCAAAGCTTCTCCTAATATGTTATTTATTTCAAGGTAAAATGTCTCCTATTTAAAAGATTTTTCAATAAAAATCATACAGTTGTTAAATCTATGTTGATACAATCATTGTTTTTCCTCAGGCATCTTATGCCAGCACTGGTCTGTTTTAATGCCTCAGACCATAGAAGGGCTGAGTGGATCCTGTCTGATCATCCCATGTACTTTCACCTTGCCCCCTGAATGGGATCAGTACCTGGACCACTCATGCAAAGCCATCTGGAGGAGAGGCAGCTGGAGCCGAACGCAGGTGTTTGATTCTAGCCTCGCCGGAGCAAGCGTCAACTTAAATCTCCTGCAGGGAAACCTAACAGGGGTCCTGCGTGATAAAGACTGCACCACCATCTTCAACAACCTGCCGTCTAACCATTACGACAACTATTACTTCAGACTGCAGTGTGAAAACTCACTGAAGTTCAACTTTCAAGCAGGCGTTCGTATCACCACTCAAGGTTTGTTCTATTCTTCATCATAAACATGCAAAAATAGATCATATCTTTTTGTCTATGCTTACAGCTTTTCCTTATTGTTCCTCCTCAGATTCTCTCCCCAGGCCTATCGTGACTCCATCCAAGCTGGAAGTAGAGGAAAGGACTGAAGTTGCATTGAGTTGTTCAGCTGTAATACCCTGTCCAACTCTTCCCCCACTAGTGACATGGACACCAATTTTAGGAGACACAGAGGAAAATATAGAAGCAAATTCTTTAACCTCTCTTATGCATTTTAACGCTTCTCACCTCCACAATGGACAGAAGGTTTCCTGCACTGCTACCTACAACAGGCAAGCTGGACACAGTGATCTCGTCTTTGAAAGGAGTTTAACAATGCAGGTTTTTTGTAAGTATGTTTTTATTGCACTTTAGTTTAAAATATTGTATAAACTAAATATATAAAAAAGATATTACAGGAGAAAATCCGTTTGTTAAGGCAGGTGAAAAAGAAAAAAAAAATCTGACTCCATAAAACTGTCGAAGACCAACCATGTTTCAATTAAGTTTATTTCTATAGCGGCAACTCACAACACATGTCATCTCAAGGCACTTTACAGTTCGCCAGGTCAAACAGTCAGACTGATACAAAGTTTTTCTATCTAAGGAAACCAGTTGATTGCATGGACTCATTGACTCGAATGCAATCCCTCACACTAAGCATGCTTGTAGCGTCAGTGGAGAGGAAAAACTCGCTTTTAACAGGAAGAAACCTCCAGCAGAACCAGGCAGCTTAACCATTTATTTCATAAGCCAAACATTTCCTTTTTCATTCAAGACAGTTGCTCAATAAAAAAAAAAAAAAACTTTTTATCATGTTTTACAGAGAAATCTTATGACCTTTTCTCTAATCAGCAATTCTTCCTCTGAGAGGCTGTTGAGATAGTCAGAGAAGTTGAAATACCATAAAAGTACAATACAACAGCCTAGTTTTCACACTCAGAGTTATGGATTTTCCTCTACAGATTAAGAGATTACTGTGACAACATTTTCATTTCTGGTATTCTTACGCTGCAAAAAATGTAAATCTTAATAAGTAATTTTTCCTTAAAAAAAATTTACCTTTTCTTGAATTAAGCAGATCAGTGAGACCCTTTGCCTATAGAACAAAATAATTTACCTTTAAAATAAGAAAGAAACAATTGCATTTTATTATATCAAGCGCATATTTTCAATGATCTTATTTCAAGAGTAAAAATGCTCATTCTATTGGAAAATCATCTTATTTACCTATTAAAATGAAGGGTAAATACATTTTATTTAAGAAAGGTTTACTTATTTCTAGATTGTTTTTGCAGTGTAAGGAGATGGATGACACTAAATATGTACAAAAACATTTGCTTTCATCCTCAAGGGATTTTATTCACCTAGTCTGCTGTTTGAGTGAAGTATGTGATGCTTAAATGGGTTTGTGATGAGGATGATACCATTTTTGTAGGCTGCCATAGTCTATTGTTACCCATGAGGCAAACAGAGATAGTCATCTGTCAGTTGCAATTGAACAAGTTTTCTGTTTTTTTTGTAAGCATGTGAGGTTAGTGTGTGTGTGAGCAGTTTAGGTGTAAGAAAAAAATAGCTTTATATCAGATATGACTGAACCTGCTAAGGCTGGGTTTGCTATGACTAATTAAAGAGCTGTTTCAGTGATTTTAAGGGATCTGTGCAGCCTGTGAACATCTCTATTTTCAAACCTTAAAAATCTATATATGTCAGACTTAGGGAGAGAAAATATACATTAAATAACACCAGTACAGTTCGGAACTATTGACACTTTTGTTTTAGTTTTCTTACAATATGGACCACCATAAATTTAGACAGGTGTGAAAACATCTATGTTTAGACTGGTCCTTTTTGAACTAGATCATTTCAATCTACACCAATTATAAATGCTCTAATAAATGGTTTGTATTTGGTTTTCCATTTCTTTATATTTCTGATAATTTAACTTTAATTATTTTGGCCAAATTGGCTTCATCAGTGGGATTCTGGGTGTTAAGTTGATGGGCTATTGTAGTTCTCTCCTCAGGTTTCGTATTTCCCATTTTTCTCATTCTTCCAGACTCCCCATATAACACAACAGTGAGTGATTCTGGTCCAGTGTTGGAGGGCAGCGTGGTGACTCTGACCTGCAGTGCCAATGCTAATCCAGAAGTGGACAGCTACACCTGGTATAAACTCGCTGGAGAGCAAGTGGAAGAAGTTGGATCTGAGAGCACATTTTCAACCACAGCTACAGAAGCTGATAACCAGTTTTTCTGCAAAGCCGTTAATGGATATGGAAGCCAAAACTCTTCAATCATGCAAATAGATGTATTGTGTATGTCAGAGCAGATGTATTTTTAGACAATACATAGTAACACAGCCTAAAACACAAACTGACTCATACTTGTTTATGATTACAGTTTCTCCCAAGGAGACAGCGGTTCTTGTTGAGCCAGCTGGTCTGATCCTGGAGGGCAGCTCTGTGTCTCTGCTTTGTAGAAGCCATGCAAACCCACCAGTAACCAATTACACCTGGTACAAAGATGACGAAGTGTATCAGGAGAAAGGACCAAAAATTGTCTTTAATGGTATAGATCCCAGCCATAGCGGTGAATATTACTGCTCTGCAAAAAACGACTTTGGAGAAGAAACTTCAGCAATGATTCCTCTGGATGTTCAGTGTGAGTTTTCTTTCTTTTTTTTATGCAAAAAGGATGCTGGGTTCCAGTGAAAAAACAAAAAACAGAGCCATATATTGTGTGGATTATGGCTCTACTGTATGTCCAGCTGTGATAACCCAAACATGAAGCAGAGCCAAGATTTGTTCACACTAAAGTCTGGACCATGGACAGTGACACATTGTCATGTTGCGTGACGACCTTAGAGCTCTCAGTGTGTCTGTGGCCCATTTAGACTGAGCTCTGTTGTGAACATGTGTGTTTGTCAGTTTACAGATTTATGTGAAGACGTTTTGTTCGGCTAATCTTCTTATCCAGATGTTAATTTTCCTTTTCACCAAAGCATGGAGTTCAGTTGATAGTTCAGATCCTTTTTATTTGGTAAAAGAAAAATCAAGTAAAAGCTAATTAAAGGATTTGCATCCACCAAAAATATCAAACCATTATGCTTTCAATTTACATTTAATCTACTTTATCCACAGAGAAAGAAGCTACCGTATGATCTTTTAATGCTGAACCTTCAAAATAAATCAAATGTTTTCTTTCAGATCCCCCTAAAAACACTACTGTGTCTGCTGACTCGTCTGGCTCAATTTCTGATGGCAGCTCTGTGACTCTGACCTGCACCAGCATGGCTAACCCACCAGTAGCTAATGTCACCTGGTTCCGAGTTGCCGGTGGAGAAAAGGAGGTTGCTGGCTTGGGTCAGAACTTCACCTTTAATGTGACCAAACTCTCTAAAGATCTATATTACTGTGAAGCACTAAATGTTCATGGATCTCAATACTCAGAACCTTTCACTATTGATGTTCTATGTAAGATCAATTGAAAAAAAAAATCTTCCTTGTTTACTTTTGGTTTTGTCTAATGTTGTCTAATGGCTAATGTTCTCCCTTTACAGATTCTCCAGAAATTCTATCATCTTCTCGCTGTGTCAAAATCTTGTCCCGCTTTCGGTGCTCCTGTGACAGTCAGGGTAACCCGCCTCCTTCCCTGCTTTGGGAACTGGCTGGAGAACGTGTCAATAACTCAGCTGACATCCCAATACGAGAGATAATTATGGGGCCAGGGACGGTCCGGAGTGTCATCACCCTGTACAGTCTAAATGAAGACTTGCCCACCTTGGTGTGCCTCAGCAGAAACTTACTGGGCTCTGATAGTCTGGCTTATAATGTTTCCTCCAGTGAAACTCAGCTAGGTGGGACTCTGCAGAAACCTGCATTCATAGAGTTTTTATCTGTCATTCAACATGTTCTGTTATGGATTTTTTCAGGTGTTGATGTTGTCTCTCTGCTCATCGGCTCAGCAGCTGGAGCTCTGGGGATGATGGTGATTTGCATTCCTCTGTTGATATTTTTCTGCAGGTATTTTTTTATTGAATTCTGTTTATAAATTTGTGATATTGTAATCCTACCACTGTATTTTCTGAACTTTTAATAGTTTGAAAGAATTTTTAAAAGCTACAAAAATAGATTCCATCATCAGTTAAAAAACTTCATTAAATTATTGACAAGTTATGTTATTAGTTACAACACACATGTTCAAAATGGGAAGAGCACTGTGATATATAAGTGCTTCACAAAAATAATTTTATACCTAAATCTAATAAAATAACTTGATTTCATTAGACCCTCCAAAAAAAAAAAAAACACTGGGTCTGCCTTTCTGGTACTAAAATTGATTGCTTTAACTTCGTCCTGAAGAACACAGACTACAGTATGTGTCAGTAGGGAACATTAAATTAGAGACCAGAAATATCACATGCGGAGTTCCTCAAGGCTCCACTCTTGGCCCCCTCCTATTCAGTATCTAAATGCTCCCTTTACCTCAGATCATAGCAAACAAGAATATTAGTCTGCTTGAGGGCTTTATATTTTTTGTGATCTATGGCTAACCCCACATGTCATTTTTATGTAATATTCTAAAAAACTTCCTCTCCAAAACAAAATGAAAAGCTCCTTTTACAAAAGTCTAAATATCTTTAAATTATATGTGTTGCCTTTATAACTGTCATTGTAGTTTGTGTGTGTAAAATAAAATCCATCCCTACAAGTAGTTCCATGTATGGCTGATATAACCAAGATTTTTCTGTTTTAGAAAAAGAAAACACAGCTTTTCACCCAAGAAGAAGTTGGCGGAAGCAGAAGAATGTTTAGTCACAGATGTGGTTAGTTTATATTTTTAAAACTCATACTTTATATATATGCGTTTAGTTACATGTAAAATCAGAATGAGCCTATGTAGCCAAAAAACTCTGATATGACATTACATTTTATTGAAGCCCTGCCGACTCGTGGACATATTCAAATAAAAGCAAATTACATCTCTTCTAGCTGTGATTTGGTGGCATTAAATTTCTTATTGTCTTATTGTAGGCCAACCCTTCCTCAGAAGCCGCCATTTTTGCCAACAAAGCTGTAGAGAATGATGTGGAAAAAGACAAAGAAGAGCACCTAAACTATGCCAGTGTGGACTTTGCTAAGCTGCAGGCAGAATCGGAAAGTCTGCTTGGGGATGGAACTATCAGAGGACTGGCCTCAAAGACGGCTGAGTACGCTGAAAATCACCCCAACTGCAGAGAAAGTAATGGAGGAGAATCAAAAGAGCAAGAAAACGTCTCAGGCACTACCTTGGGACATGGTAAAAATGCTAATAATCTTGAGGTAACTAACAAGGTTTCACCTTGAATTGAAGTCAGTTTGTAGCAGAAAACAAGATGGACTTTGGTTTTATTTCAACATTATTCAACATGAAGAAACTGATATAGAACTTTAAATCTCACAAGAATTCTTAAAAAAAACTGTTTATTACTCATATTTTTGCTGCCCTTTTCTTGTCTTTTTTTGTAATTTCTTAATACTTACTTATCTTGATTAAACTTCTATTGTAAATAAAAGCAACAACAAAAATTTTTTGTATGTGTTTTTATTATCTGCTGCCAGTACAACCAATCAAAGCATTTTTCAAAGTGAGAAAATAAACAAACAAAATAGAACATCTTTCCAGTTTGTATAAATCCGGCATACATCTCATACTTGTATGATAGCGAAGGGTTAAAACATCAATAACTTTGATAAATTTTTAGCTCCCTTTGAACAGAAGGATTATTTGGTAAAGTTTAACCTCTGTAGGAGTATTGGTCCCTTACAGATTTATTCTGCTTTTTTTGTCTTTCAACAGATTTAAAATCAGTCAGGTAAGGTAATCTTAGTAAGATTACTAACAGCAGAGAACAGCAGATCATAAATAACATACTTGTGTATAATATATTACGTTTATGTCAATAAATCCCTGTAATTATTACACATTGTAGCTTTAATGTTTTATCTCTAGGCCAACCAATTTTTTAACTCTTAATTTTCTTGATAAAACTTACGTCTTAAATAAAAACAACAAAGGTAGATTAGATGAACATTTTTTATATCGTCTTTATTACATTTATACATGAGCATGAACAAAAAATAGATCATTCTGGGCACAAGTTTCATCCCTGTAAAATAGCAAAGTATAAAAACATTGATAACCACACCCAGTTTTAACTTTCTACAGTATGTACAGAAATATTATTTGGTAATGTTTTACCATCTACAATACTTACCTAGAAATATTAGCTCCTTACAGCTTTATAGATTTTAAAATCAGACCAAGACAACTAAGTAAGATCAAAAAGTAGTTTTTATACCAACATTTTGGTTTAATAAGGAAATAGCTTATAGAAGCACCTTAGCCCTATTAAATAATGTTGTCCACTTCTAAACCAAATAACTGCTGTGGGACCCTGCTATCAAGCATCTCTGTTAAGCAGCATTTAGTCTGTCTTCAGAGAAATTTTGATTAACAGTTTTATAATTCATCCACAGTAGAGGATCATTGAAAATGAATGGACGGTTTAAGGTCATGCCACAGCTTAACAGCTTAAATCCAGACTTTGATTAGGTCACTCCTAAAAATCCATTTCTCCTTTTCTGAGCAAATCAGAGGTGGAATATCTGGTGCTTTGGATCTATTGCCTTCTGCGAAACCTTCCTAAGCAGACAGCTTCTTGCTGTATCTTTTGGATAGAGAACACAATCTATATATGTCTAAGTTACAGCAATGGGCTCTATGCACAACTCCACTATTTCTTGAACTTAAGGCACCTCTTTTGCTTGCTGTCTTTTTCTACTTCTCTAATGAAGTGATTATCCAGGTGTGCTTAACCTCAGTAACCATGGCGAGACACACCTGGATTAATCAGTTCATTCGGGAGAAAATGACAGGAAACAAAAGAGCTGCCTTATGTTCAGGAAGTAGGGAGGTTGTGCATAGAGCCCATTCCTCCACATCACAACCAACAACATGTTTGAATGCAAGTATCTGGTTGTTATTTTTAATTTTAAGTTCTCCTAAAGTAATTTAGGTGATTTGGTCACTACTGGCAATTCACAACCATGCTTGATAGTGGTTTTTACTATAGTTTGCTGGAGTCCCATATGGTTTTATAACTATTTCCAGATGAATAGATGTAAGGGAGAGTTTCTCTATTCACGTAGGACAAAGTTGGTTGGAAAAGCTTTTTCATCATGATTTAAAAATACTGCTGTGGGCATTTTCTTAAATTCAGTTTTAGTTTTTTTTATTGTAAAACAAAAAATGCAAGAACAGAAAGAATTTGTTTGAAAGCTGTTTCATAACACTGTAAAGGTTGTTGATTAAGAGTGACTGATCCTCTCCTCTTTTCAATACACTGTTACACAAATTAGAAAAGCATATCTTTTCAGGAAATGATGGCTAACAACCTCCATGAGGATCTCAAAGGTTGTTTAGAATCAGAGTATGATGTCAGAGTACTGAGTCTCCTCGTCAGACGTGCTGGAGTCGGATGTGCTGGAGTCGGATGTCTCTGTCTGATGGGAAGGCTTTGCAGCAATAGTTACCTGAGAATAGCTGACCTCTTCTTCATCACTGGTCTCTGAATCATCATCAGAAAAGCATGGCTTTCTGGTAGGTGAAAACGGGTTGATGTTCTCATAATCCAGAAAATGTTCCTGCGCTTCCTTTAGGAAGGAAATTGGAGAATTTTTTTTATAACCAAACCTGATTTGGCTATGACAGGCTTTTTTTTTTTTTTTTTTTTTTACAAATATGAGCTCTGCATTGTTGTGATTGAGTATGCCACTGACCTGTTTGCGTATTGGCTTACACACTTGTGAATATATAGCCTCTACTCCGACTTTCCTGGAAAAAAAAACAAAAAAAATAACATTATTAGAATTTATATATATTTATATAAAAACATAATATAATTATATATAATTGATGTCTGCACTTTCAAAAGATGCAAAAATGAAAACGTTTCTCTCACTCCTTATCTTTAAAGGGCAGAGAGGCATAGTTCAGAGAATCGTCCTCCATGCATTTTTGTTGTGCTTTTCCTGGTCTTTGTGCAGATGTAGCCTAAACAGATGCAGACAGAGGACTATAGTAAACGTGCATTGAAAACTGAATGAGTTTATTCATGAAATAAAAAAGGGGTCAGTTAGCTGATTCATTATTCTGTGTTTTGCACACTGAGTTATTACAGTAATTAGAAACATCCCTTTATTAGACACACAGAGAGTACACAGCTTCAGGCAGCACACAGGAAGTAGCTAGACTGTTATTCAGATCTACTAGGTTTCTTCATTTAGGCCAAGACTAAAACTAAAATAAAAAAGGCCTAATAAGCATAAATAAACTAACAGCAGATATGTCAGCTATAGAAATCTGTAGTGTATTTTAGTGCAGCTCGTTTACAATTACTGCAAACATATTTTTCCTTTAAGATTACATGATTCCTTAGATGTTTCTGATGTAAGTCTATTTCTTAAAGTCTATGCTAAAAGAAAAATACATCAATCTGATTTCTGCTTTAAAAATGTGGCACTGGCATGCATATTTAAAAATACAACTTCCTTGCTGTCATTTTATTTTATTTTTTTCAATTTTTTTATTCTTTGTTAGATTAACTTTACTCACTTTATTTTCAAATGGCAGATTGACTGTAGAATAAACAGTGTTCACATGGTGGGATGTAGACCTAAAGAACAGGAATAAAATAAAAACATAGAAACATATTTTAGCTCATTGTTATTTGAATATTTTTTTTTTTTTTTTGTCCCATGTGTATCTGTGAGATCTTAAACAGTTTCTTTCTTCAAAGAGCAAAACCAGCCATTGCTCTCTGTGTAACAGAATGTCTCTTGTTCTGAATGGAGACAGTGTGAGGCCGCTCACTTACGTGACGTCTGGGCGAGGCTCCTGAGGCTGAGCCTTTCGACGGCCCTGCTGCTCCGGCAGAAGGTCGTCTCTGCTTCTAGAAGTGTCTCTAAATATATTCTCATTTCTTGCATTCCCCCTTTCAGCTCTTCTCCAACAGGTGCAGAAGCCCTGAAAAACAAGTTGTTGGTGTTTTCACCTTGTTTATGTCTGAAAGCTAATGTATGCATCTGCCTATAGCGGTGAGTTTAAACTAAATAAATGAAAAGGACACAGAGGACCCCACAATTATGCAGTGTTAAAAGCCAAAGAGTTAAAGCGGTCTTAAGATGAGACTTAAAACACTCCACTGTGAAGGCTGTTTGTATATGGAGGCGCAAAGTATTCCAAAGTCAGGGGCCAACTACAGAAAAGGCTCTGTCCTATTCTGGTTTTAAACCTAACCTAATCTAACCCTATTATTTGAAATGTGGAGGAGGTTGGTAATGTATTGAGGAGCCATCCCAATCAAATCTCTAAACACAAACAATAAAATCTTAAAATAATTCTAAACCGAACACAGAGGCAGTGCAGAGACTCAAGAATTGGTGTAATGTGTTGATGTTAAAATACAAACCGTTGTGTTAGCTGGTAAGTAAAAAAATAAATAAAATAAAAATAAAACAACTCTGTGAATTACAAAAAAAAACATAACTAATTGAAAAGCTTGATGGGAGTTTTTGCTGCCAAGGGTGCCCAACCTGGTTTTAGCAGTAATTGCTTTCTCATAGAGGTCCAGAATAGTTTGGGCAGCTTTTTATTCTCAATAAAAAAAGTATTTATAGCATCAGATGTACTGGACCACTGGACACTGGAAAATATCCTTTTATAATATGAAAGGTAAATATATCACCTATAGTCGAATTAATACATATACCGTACCCTTGAGTCAAATAAATTATAATTTAACAGGAAACTGACAATCCTGTTTGTTTTAATTCAGTGGTTAGCCTGAGATATCTCTAAAATTCTGAAGATGTAGTTCTGCAGATGGAAGACATTGAATTGATTAATCTGTTTATTATTACATTTTGACACAGGTTACTGTAGAGATTTATATGCATTTAAATGTTTGGTAAATATTTTATAACACCCCCCATTTCTCATGAGACTTCAGCATACAGTGCACCTCGCCACTTTGTCATCATTCCTCACCAGGGCCGGTTCAAGACAGGGGCCAACGGGGGCCAGAAATTCTAATGATGATCTGCGCTGGAACAGACATGGCTACTGATGGGTCCTTTGGAACTACTTCATTCTTTTTCTTTACAAATTCTGTTTTACTAATTATTCAAAAACAATAAGGTGATAGCTTCAGTGGTACTGAGATAGGATCCCAGTTTTCATCTGCTAAATGTTTTTTTTTCACAACAAATAAAAAAAAATCCTCTAATTTTTACAGATGATTTTAACAGTTTTTCTTGAGTTCTAATTCAAATTTTTATAAAAAAAAAAAACAGTAGTTTT